TACCCCGTGAAGGCATAAAGCCGGGTAAAGCTGGTGAAGCGTTCGTGGACTTTGTGTTCATTAGAAAGCTAATGGTGGACTGAGGAAATAAAAGGAAAGAGAAGCACAAAACAAAGCATCATAGTCACTTGAGTCAATCACAGTTCATAAATCGCATTAAGGATGGATCATCTTGTAAGCGATCTCGAACCGCTTTTTCCCGACGATCTGTTTCCGTCAACTGGACCGAATCTTTCGCACGTGCGTAACAATGAAACTCCAAGAGGTAATGCATTACGATGTTATAACATTGACGAAACGTTATCTTATAGACTGTTTCAAGAAAACATCTGATTTTTATTTAATAATAATTGTTATTTACGTGATAATTGTTTATAAGCGCTGCCTTACCTTCGATTTCGGTGAAATTAGGCTAATTCGGCGCATTTTTGCGTAAAATGAAAGAAAATGTGGCAGAAAAATATGCGGGATTGCCATGCAAAGAAGATATTAAGCGTTAAAGTTGACTACTATCACCGACGAGATACTATTAAAGACGTTCGGCGTTTATAGAAATTTGTGTGACTGTTAATATTTAAGTGATTGAGAATAAGAAACTAAAACGGTACTTATTTCATGATTTATTAATTGTAGACATGTATATATATTTAAAACTTAATAATACTCGATTTTTATTGAAAACTGTGATTAATTTAATGTTATCATCCGAGTTTTATTATCAATAGAGATGATAACTGCAGAGAAAAAATTGTAATTTTTCAGCAATATAGATAAGATATTATAGCATTAAATGTATGCATACTTATTTATACAGCATTTATATAATAAAAAAATCACGAATTTAATAATGTATTATCGAAATATTTATGTTAATAATAATAAAGTTTTATTAATTTGTCATTGTTTTTCATTTATCCCCGGGCTCCCCCGAGTCTCATTGATAGTCACGAAAATTTGCTCAAGGACGATCTAATAGTATATCTCGTCGGTACTATTCAAGTTAGGAAATCTGTCGTATCGACGATAGCATAGAGAATTATACAAATTCTTTGTTTTATAAATCTAAATTTTTTGCTTTAAAAACAAATTTTCTGCTTTAAAAGTAGAAATTTTCTCGGAAAAAATCCAAAATTTACGATGATTGCCATGATATTTGTGAGAAAAATTTATTCTACACTGTGTTAAAGTAATGCAATTGACGAAACATGTACTTCTTAAAAAGTGCTGGAATACGGAAAGATTCGAATCACAACTCATTTTTTCAAGTAAAGCTTCTACCCTTAAAAAAGTGCAAAAAAGAACTTTTATATATTGTACAATAATTTTTCGCAGAGTTATGTTTATTTGAAGTTATGCTAAATTTTGGTTTAACTTTAATTACGTGTTAATTTTCTGGTCTAGTGTATATGTATATATAATTGCTGTATAATCCAAATCTATTTTACACTGCATGCGATTGACTAATATCAAAGTATTCACTTTTGATAAGATAGTTCTGTATTGGTTTGTATCATTACTCAATTTGTTAACATTTTAGCTGCTAAGCTGATTTCGTAATGTATTATTTTAATATCTTTTGTATTTTTTTTTTGTCTCAATACAATTTGTATCGTTTCTTTGTAAATATCTTAAATACTTATTGTTAATATTCTTAATCAGGCAAATAAAACTATCCACAAATGAATGATGAATCTTGTGAATTTAACGTGTTACGAATGGCAGTCAAAATGTTACTATTAAATGTAGAGGAAAGACCCCTTATGAAATACCGAGTTTATTTTGGGTAAATGCTAGAAATCTATGGGTAAAATTTAAAAAAAGAATAGGCCATTTTGAAGGGAATTTAATAAGCTTTAAGATAATGTTATGTAAATTTAATTCAAATTTTATTTTTTTTATAAATTTAAGAAATGTAAAAAGTAAGCAAATTGCAAAGTAAAAAAATTATGCTCGTAATTTGAAATGTCCCGAGAAATCGATAATAAAACGCAAAATATTGCAATTAAACAACTTTATTTAATGTTTCTAAAATACAAACAACACAGTCAGTGCGCACGCAAAATGAGTATGCGATGCATTGTACCTAGGACTCAGGTAGTTGGGTCAAGCATCACAGAAACAGGCACTCGATGTTTATTCCGACTATCCTTTTTATTATTGTACAATAATATTTATACTTCAGCAACGATTTTCACTATGACTCCTATCTCATATTACGATTTCTACGCCTTACGGTTTTACGATCATCAAATCTAATTTAACTTTTATAATTAAGCAATTCAACATATCACATATTTTTCTATAGTACGATCTTACTCTATCACCACATGAAGAATTTATTGTCAAATATTTACTTATTAAATATTGTAATAAACAAGGTTTAAAGGCTCATCTCAACGAAACTTTAAGATATCTAAATTCTAAAATCTTTTTTTGTAACGACTACAGACACAATCTAATGATGAATTTACTTAATAATTTAAATAGTTTTTAATCCAAGAGCAATAAATTCATGGTGGAACCAATAGATAGCGTTTATCAGTTCAGCGGAAACGTACGGTAAATACATTATATTCACTCATCTACAATATTCGTAAATATTCTAGCAACAAAAGCATTTTTTCAATTAAATACACATTCATAAAATATGTAGGATTTACATTTCACATTGTATAAGATTAAAGTATCAAATAAAGAATGATAAATTAGATAGATATATTATTCAAATTTGTAAACAGTGAAACATTATATTACACAATACGAACTGTAGTTTTTAAACGCTTCATTAGATGTATCATCTATCAGTTCTCAAACATTATTACAATGCCGTTTCGAATCGTCTTATATACACGCACAGCTTTAATTGGAAATGTTAAGTCATAAAAATTGCTATAAAATTAATAATTATCAAAATAATAATAAAATAAATAATACATGAAGAAAACCACGTTTTTAAACGTGTATGATAATAAATATTAATTCAGTTAATTAATATCACAATTAAAAAAGAACTATGTTTTTTTGTTTTCAGTTGTTAATAATATACAATGGATTGTTGTTAATACAATATATGCGTGCATGAGGCAAACTAGACTATGCTATTATATATGTACACATACATTTGACTTTTAATTGACATAATATATTGTACAAGTACGATCAATAATATTATATATTAAATAATATTGCTCTAGGGCGGGTCACTCAATCTTAATCTTTTTTCTACTTTTAATTGGTTTAGATGACATTTTTTATATATAGAAAAAAAAACTGAATAATTTAAATTAAAGTTAGAGAGTGTCTTGAAAATTTATTTGATTTATATTCGAGATATATCAAGATTATAGATTTAAACGCACACACAGAATGAGAGTTAATGATTAAAAAAAATTTGTTGGACATCTGTTATACGTTATGTTAGGTGCTGGAGTCTTGGGAACAATCTTTTTGATCGTGAACACTACACTGGGAGCTGGATTGTTGAATTTCCCACAGGCCTTCGATAAGGCTGGTGGGATAGGGACTTGTATCGTGGCTCAACTTGTCTTGCTTGTATTCATCACAGCTACTCTGGTGATACTGGCCAGTTGTAGCAACAGTACAGGCACCGATACAATGCAAGATACATTCGCTGGATTATGTGGATCCAAGTCACTTGCTTTCTGCGGAATCTGCGTAGCTGTTTACAGCTTCGGTTGTTGCTTAACGTTTCTGATAATCGTTGGTGATCAGTTCGATAGAGTGTTTGCCACATATTATGGTCTTGATTATTGTCATACGTGGTAATTATAAAAAAAAAATGTAACTCGTCAGATTGTCTTTATTTTAGAGATTGTCAGATTGTCTCAATTTTCTAGGTATTTAGCCAGGCCATTTGTGACAGCTTTATCTTGCAGTATATTTATACTGCCGATGTGCTTTTTTAAAAGACTGGACATTCTAAGTTACGCAAGTTCCATTGGTTGTATAACCATCATTTATGTCGTATGGTTAATTATTTATAAAAGCTTCGGGGAGCAAAACAACACTATATCACCCATAAAAATCTGGCCAAACAATGGATATGAAATTCTACAGATAATACCCATCGTTTGCTTCGCTTATCAAGTACGAATTCTTAATATATGTATTATTCGATTAAATACGAATTTAATATCTTATATATTTACATATTATATTAACAGTATAATCATTACATGCTCTATATAATAATAATTTTAATGTAATCTTTATTAAATCACTCTCACATAAATTATATTATTTAAATCAATACATATGTACAGGTATGCATATTTTACAGAGTCACATGACGGTGATACCGACTTATGCCTGCATGAAGGACCGTAATTTGTACAAGTTCACTCTGTGTGCCGTCGTCAGCATGCTGATCTGTTACGGCACGTATAGCATCGTTGGTTATTTCGGTTACGCCACGTTCGGTAGTGGCAAAGTCCCAAGCGATATCCTGCAAGGCTACACCGATAAGAGTGCCGTCGTAACCATGGCGATAATTGCAATCGCGATCAAAAACTTTACAACCTATCCCATCGTATTATATTGCGGCCGAGACGCACTTCTCAGTATCTTCAATGTGAGTTTCGATCGAATTGGCATCCGTGTGATCATCACGTTGATTTGGTTCATCCTGTCGTTAGTCATCGCCATTCTGGTGCCAGACATCTCACCGGTCATCAACTTATTAGGATCGTTGTCTGCGATGTTTATTTTCATCCTACCAGGTATCTGTCTCCTGCAAAACGTGTTGCTCAGAGATCCAGAATTGTGCTTAAATAAAGGCCGCATGCTAGTCGTCTTCGCAATCTTCCTGACCGCACTTGGAGCCTTTGTGTGCGGCGTCATATTTATGGAGACTCTTCAAGATCTACAGAAGACGCCGGCTAAACCGCCATTAGTCACTGGTTTCAGACAGCTCAGAGAGAGTTTGTGTGTTTGATAGCAACGGTAATATCGAAATATATATTAGACATAGTGCGATCTATGAAGAAACTTCGAGATTTTTTTTATTAACATTTTATTAATAATTCATTAATGGCGTGCCATACTCTCTATATATCTCATATGTAACTCAATTCAAATGAAATTGAGAAAGCGAATTTGCAATTCGGATATATACTTTACTTTTAGTCAATATTATGATAAAAAGATGTAGTTGAGGCGTCAAAAAAGACTGACATGTATATATAAATTGTGCGTGCGTGCGTGCGTGCGTGTGTGTGTGTGTGTGCGCGTGTGCTCGCGCGCGCGCGCGTGTGTAGGTGTGTGGTGTGTGTACGCGCGCGTGTATACACACAATTTTTATTATTAAGTTTTACAGATTAACTCATTTGCACATATAATTTTATGAATATAATTCTTTTCTACTTTTGACATTCCTTCGTCAAGATGTGCT